TGAGGACCAAATGAATCAGCACTTGAAATGTGCCTGACACATGTGAGTGTGCAACACAAGTTAGCCACTCTAGTTATTCACTTGCAAACCACTACCTGCACAGTACTGATGCTCTCCCACCTTGGGTTGTTTGGGGGCCTTCTCTGAGGCAAAAGGATGACTTTATTAGGCAAACAGAACCTGTGTTTCATGGAAACACGAAGGCTGTGGGTTGGGGGCACAATGTATAGAGTTTAGATTAACACTGGATACACTTAGTGGGCCAGGCTCTTTCTAACCAATAGAATAACCAATGGTTGAGTTGTTACAGATGACTAATGTTACTTCTTTGGGTCCAGAGAAAGCTTCATATAGAAAGAATGCACTCAGAATGCTAAGCTAGTGTTTTACTAGACTTCAATTCTAACAGGAAATTTTCGTTAAGTCCTTTCTACCCCTAACTTCGTATTTTGAAAATTTTCAAGCCTACAAAAATATCCGAAAGATTGGTGTCATGAGTTTACATGTTCTTTCACTTAGGATTCAACTGTTGCTAACATTTTGCCACATTCACTTTCCACGTGTGTGTCTCTATGCACTTCTTGGACAAACCATTTGAGAATGAGCTGTAGATACGATGACCTTTTCTTGCTAAACCTGAAGTCTGCGTCTCCTAAGAACAAAGGCATTCTCCTGCATATCCACAACACTATTATCACCCAGTCAGCTTTAACATTAACATCACCGTCTATTGTGGTCCACATGCAGGTGCTCTCAGTTGTCCCAAACATGTCTTGGCTACTTTTAAATCAGGCATTGCATTTTATTTTCATGGCTCTTTAATTTTCTTCAGTTTAGAACTGTTCCTTTTTTGCAGTGTTTCATGGCATTGGGATTTTTGAGGCATTCAAATCAGTTGTTTTACAGCATGTACCTCAATTTATCTTTCTAAGGCCAATGTGAATAAATCTTCCAGCCACTGGTTCATGCCCCAAATGGCCACCGCAGCTGGGGCTGGGCTGGGTTGAAGTCAGGAGCCAGGATCCAGGAGCCAGGAACTATATTCAGGTCTCTCCTGGGTGGCAGGGGGCAAGCACTTTGGTCATCCTGTGCTGCTTCCCCAGGTTCATTAGCAAGGAGCTGGATGGGAAGTGGAGCAGCTGGGACTTGAACTGGCACTCCCATATGGGATGCCAGCATCACAGACAACTTAACCTTATGCCACAACACCAGTGCTGGGCCCCAAATCATTATTTTTAAAAATATTGGCAAATCTGGGCCGGCACCATGGCACAGTAGGTTAATCCTTCACCTGTGGTGCCAGCATCCCATATGGGCGCTGGTTCTAGTCCCAGCTGCTCTGCTTCTGATCCAGCTCTCTGCTGTGGCCTGGGAAAGCAGTGGAAGATGGCCCAAGTCCTTGGGCCCCTGCACCTGCATGGGAGACTGGGAAGAAGCACCTGGCTCCTGGCTTCGATCAGTGCAGCTCCGGCCATTGTGGCCATTTGGGTAGTGAACCATCGGAAGGCTTTTTTCTCTGTGTCTCTCTCTCACTGTCTATAACTCTATCTGTCAAATAAATAAATAAAATCCTAAAAAAATATTGGAAAATCTTTTGAAATTGCTAATGACCTGAGGTATAGCTTATTCTTACTAGATAAGACCATTGCACATTAATATGCTATAAAGGGGCCAGCGCTGTGGTGTAGCAGGTTAAGCCTTCACCTGCAGTGTCAGCATCCCTTATAGGCACTGGTTCAAGTCCCAGCTGCTCCGCTTCTGGTCCAGCTCCCTGCTAATGCACTTGGGAAAGCAGCAGAGGATGGCCCAAGTGCTTGGGCTCCTGCTCCCACATGAGTCAGAATAAGCTCCGACGCCTGACTTTGGCCTGGCCAAGCCCAGGCTGTTGTGGTCTTTTGAGCTAGGAACCAGCAGATGGAAGATCTTTCTCTCTCTCTGTATTTCTGCCTTTCAAATAAATAAGTAAGTCTTTAAGAATGCATTAAGGACCATCACTTATGAGTCATGACACAAGTGAGCTGGCCTGCTTTGTCTAAACTCCTGAGGACTTCCAATAATGAACTCCAGTGTAACAATTGCTTTCAGGTTTTTATAGCCTTGGTTGCACATGGCTCCAGAAAATGCTAGCACTTTTCCTGTCCACTGATGGTCAAGTATGAAAAAAGCAGCTAGAACACCACAGCCTTGGCTAACTGAGAAAGCTTGTTGATGATGAGAGCTTTGACCCTTTGGAGAGGAAGGCCTCTCACTGACCTGGGAGGATCCACTGTGGCAGATGCTGCCCAAGGTTGAGGAAGAGGAGGCTAGAGCAGAAACCAATGGATTTGATGATGTGGGAAGTTAGTCAAGGAGGTGATCTGACAGAAGTGATTAGGGCAGGGTATGCTGTGAGAGGCCTTTCCCCATTCTTATCTTGTGGAGTCCGCTCAACTAGCCTTATCATAGTTTCTGTTTAGCTTGTCCAATTGGCAGGGGGGAGGTCACAATGGAAGTTGCAGTGAGTTTATGGTAAAATGTCAGAATAGGGCTCTAAGGAAATCCTTTTTAAAACTTCAAAACTTGAGATACTTCAAACTCTGCATGAAAATTAACTAGAAAGGATCATGGACCTAAATGTAACTCTACAGTTTCTACAAGAAAACAGGAGAAAATCTCTGTAACTTTAGATTAGACAATGGGTTATTTGAATGATTTATTTAGGAAAGGCACAATAAAAGGACAAACCATACAAGATAAAAAGTTGCTATAGGCTCAGCAACATTAAAAAATTAACTTCTACTCTTCAGAAGGTACACTTAGTAGAGTGAAAGGATAACTCACGGCCAGCGCTGCGACTCAATAGACTAATCCTCCACCTAGCGGCGCCGGCACACTGGGTTCTAGTCCCGGTCGGGGCACCAGATTCTGTCCCGGTTGCCCCTCTTCCAGGCCAGCTCTCTGCTGTGGCCAGGGTGTGCAGTGGAGGATGTCCCAAGTGCTTGGGCTCTGCACCCCATGGGAGACCAGGAGAAGCACCTGGCTCCTGCCTTCGGATCAGCACAGTGCGCCGGCTGCAGCACGCCAGCCTCGGCGGCCATTGGAGGGTGAACCAACGGCAAAGGAAGACCTTTCTCTCTTTCTCTCTCTCTCACTGTCCACTCTGCCTGTCAAAAAAAAAAAAAAAAAACACCTCCCTAAGATTAGCATCAAATTACTACATGGGAACAGATTTGAATAGACACTTGGTAAAGATACTTGCACAACAGTATCGTCAGTCATTAGAGTAGTGCAAGTTTAAACTGCAGTGAGTGTACCCAAGGTGCCAGCGTTAGGATGACTGAGTCCCGCATTTGAGCACTTGCATTTGATTCTTCTCTCTGGTTCCTGATTCCAGCTTCCTGCTAATATAGTTCTCCTGCCTTTCTTGGGCTTGAGAAATTGGGGTTCCTGCCACCTACATGGGAGGTCTTGGTTGAATTCCCAGCCTTCAACTCCAGCTTCAGCCCAGTGCTGGTCATGGTGGGCATTTGGTGAGAGAACTGATTGACTCTCAAGTAACTATTTTTAAATACTAAAAAAAAATAGAGATTCCACTATATATCTACTAGCAGAAAAGCTACATTAAAAAAGTTTTATTTTTTAACTTATTTGAAAGAACGAGAGAGAGAAAGAGAGAGAGAGAGAAAGATTGACCTTCCATCTGCTGGTTCACTTCCCCAAATGCTGATAACAGCCAGGGTTGGGCCAGGACTATGCCAAGGATATAGGTCTCAGTGTGTGGGTCTCCTACATGGGTGGCAGAGACCAGAATACTCGAGTTACCATCGGCTACCTCCCAGGGTGCACATTAGCTGGAAGCAGAGTAGCTGGGACTCAAACTTGGCACTCTGATACGGGATGTAGGCATCCCAAGTGGTATCTTATTTATTTATTTATTTGACAGGTAGAGTTAGACAGTGAGAGACACAGAGAGAAAGGTCTTCCTTCCGTTGGCTCACCTCCCAATCACCCCCCAAATGGCCGCTATGGCCGGAGCTGCGCCGAACTGAAGCCAGGAGCCAGGTGCTTCCTCCTGGTCTCCCATGCGGGTGCAGGGTCCAAGCACTTGGGCCATCCTCCACTGCCTTCGCGGGCCACAGCAGAGAGCTGGACTGGAAGAGGAGCAGCCGGGACTAGAACCCAGCACCCATATGGGATGCCAGTACCACAGGCGGAGGATTAGCCAAGTGAGCCATGGTGCCAGCCCCCCAAGTGGTATCTTAATGCTGTGCCACACATCCAGTTTCTAAATTTTTGTTAAAGTTGAAATCTGAGGACTGGGACAACACATGTTGCAACTGCCACTCTCGAACATTGTTGGTGAGAGTGCAGACTGCAGCAGCTACTTGGCAAACAGTTTAGCTGTGTGTTAAACAGTTCAATATACACTTAGTAGGTAATGAACTGTCCTACCCCTAGATCTTTACACCAAAGAAATGAAGACACATATTCACACACAGACCTGCATGTGAGTGCTGCTAGCAGCTTTATTTATAATTGCAAAAAGTTGGAAAACACAGTTCTATAAGCTGATGAAATGGATAAACTGGTGTAACTACACAATTGGAATATTACTCAGCAATAGGTAGAGGCAGCAACATGAATAGTAGTTTAATCTCTAAAGGATTATGCTGAGTAAAGGAGCCAGACACAAGAGGCTACACTTACTACATGATTTTGCTTATAAGACACTGTGGAAGGAAAAACTACAAGAATAGAAACAGGGTGAGTGGTTTGAGGGCCTGGGTCTGGGGATGGGAGGAGACGATTGACTGGAAAGGACCATGAGGGACCTTTTTGGGTTGATAGAAATGTTCTACATCAGGAATTTGGTGGTGGTTACATAACCACGTGTTTGCCAAAACTCAGCAAACTTTACAGTGTGAATTGAAATACATAAAAATTATACCTCCATAAGCCTGACTTAAGAAAACACGTCTACAGACTTACATGGAAATAAACCTAAGAAAAAGATAACTTACAGTTTTTCCAGTTGAAGGGTCATCATGAGAATGTTCTCAACTGTGGTAAGTGGTACTTGTGTTGTTCCCAAGTCTCTGAAGGAGAAAGCCCAAACATTCACGGTATGGACCTCAATAAAAAGATCTGTCCTTAAAAAGGTTGTTTCAGGAAGATGTGGTTACATCAGTTTTGGCTTCTCTATAAAGCAAGACAGCTCAAGAGTTTGTCATGGAGACAGTTCCAGAAAGCCCTGGTTGAAATGACTTTACTATTTGCATCATCAGATTAATGACCTTGGCATTGAAGAGTAGAACCTACACCTTTTTCTGCCATTGTCTTATTTTTCATTTTATACTACACTGACCTCTTTTAATTCTTATTTTTTCTTTAAAAAATTTACATCTATACCTCTTTGCTTGGGATAGATGGTATTCCTAACATGTATTTGCATGTAACACTGTCTCGCCCTGCCAGCTGTCTTTCCCATGATAAATTCTTTCTCAGTTCTTGCCTCAGTCAATAACTTTTTTCAGTAACCTAATTTAAAATCATGACTTTTTAGCCTCAATCTCAAATACTTAATGTTTGATGAAAATAAAAAAAGATTATTTTCATACTTACAGATATTTTAATGCTGGCAGTTTAAAAAGATACGAATCTTCAACATTTGTCAGAGGATTACGATTGAGATTTCTGAAAAAGGCAATGGAATTAAAGGTATCGGCCATTTCAGTAAGCACAAGACTGTATGAGAAATTATATTCTTTTTTGTGTAGACATTTTAGGCTTAAAATTACTTTCTGTGTACTTACAAATCACCCTTAGGATTCAAAAAGCACTTGTTCTTTGGGAACTATCTATGTCTCTTAGAGGATGAATGGAGAAGAGAAAGAGAAAAGATACAAAAAATGCATAATAAACACAAAGTATGCAAAAGAACTTTTTAGGTGAAAAGCCTTAGAAGTGGAGCCAGTGTTTTGCCTAGCAATTAACACCCAGATTGGGATACCTACGTCTCAAATCAGATGCCTGGGTTTGATTCCCAGTTCCAGCTTCTAATTGCAACTTCCTGCTAATGCAGACCCTGGGAGGCAGTGGTGATGGCTCAATTGGTTGAGTCTCTGCTATCTACTTGGAGACGTGGACTGGTTTCTGGTTTCCAGCTTCAGCCTGGGCCTGGCCTAGCCTCGCCTGAGCCATTGCAGGTATTTGGGAAGTGAACTAGTGGGCGGGAGCTGTCTGTGTCTTAAAAAAGAAAGACGTATAGAAGTGACCACACTGATAGGGAAGCCCTTTTTTGTGTAGGAAACACTAATCCTGTGTTCTCCATAATTCAAGGTGCTTGCCTTTCATCTTTGGAAATTTTAAACAAGCCATGACTTAATTCATTTAGTTGATGGAAAAAGAACCCACGTCAAAGCCATACTCTTGTCACGTTCTTCCACTGGTGTTCTCATTTCGCATCACACATCATCACATCACATCACATCACATCACATCACATCACATCATCACGTCACATCACATCACGTCACATCACGTCACATCAGTCTTTGTTACGTTGCTTGTCATCACCTGTTGGCCTGTCAGTCTCCTGGCCTGTAGCTCCTTGAGGGCAGGGATATTGTTATTGTCTTTGTTATGCCTGTGTGTGGCATAGTGCCTGAAATTTACTGCATGGTTAATAAATATTTGTTGAGTAAAGAATTCACATTTTGTTTCCCTACCAATACAGTGAATAAATTCATGTTGTGGGAAATTTCATTCCTAAATGCTGTAATAGATTTTTAAAGTTTTTAAAGCAAGCAAACAAAAACAAAAACAGGTAAAAAAAAAAAAAACTGCCTTTAGTTTAACTCTACTCAAAAACGTACTGTACTGTTACAGACTGTGAAAATAATAACTCTTACAGATGATATTGATTTGGCTGCCAAGCATCTGTGTTCAGCATTCAACACTGGATGTTCCCAGTAACCTCTGTGATAGGTATTGTACCCCAGTAGCCTATTGTGATATATATTGTGCTGAGTCACAGAGGCTGTGTAACTTGTTGTAGGTCACTGCACTTGTAAGAAGCAAAGCTGGAGCTGGAGCTCAGTCCTGCCCCAGACTGTGTCTAATATGTGTGCAGAAAAGGGTCCAAATATTTGTTACTTTAATCTGAAGCTTGAGATGACTAAATATAGAAGTACTTTGAAAATTTCATCAACCTTCTCAGGATAGCGCTCATGAAAATTAGTTTCTCTTTTTATTCCTTTTCCCTAATCTTATCCCACGATTAGATATTTAGCTCAGAGTCATTGAGACTAGAGATTTAAAAGCATGTTGTAGGTGACATCAGTGGAAACCTATGTAAACAGTGGAGTGAGAACATTTGAAAATTTATCCCTTCATAAAGGGAACAACAAAATGGTAAAAGTGGTCAGAATCAAGTTTTTGATAATTCTGGAAATTTAACCAAAGGCTTGCAGCCACCTGTGGGGCATTTACTCAAGAAAATTGGCTGACTTTCTCTAAGAATAGTGAGATTTGTGTGGGTTTCGTGTATTTAACTTGCCCTAGACAGTTCCTCCCTGGCAAGCTCAGTGGTAGCCTTAAAAATAGGCTTGGCAGCTTATGACAAGAGCCTCGGGTGATGACTGACATAAATAAGAGTGTCAATTGTTAAATCAACAACAGGAGTCACTGTGCACTTACTCCCCATGTAGGATCTCTGTCCTTAATGTGTGGTACTATGTGAATTAATGGTATAACTAGTACTCAAACAATACTTTATACTTTGTGTTTCTGTGTGGGTGCAAACTGTTGAAATCTTTACTTAGTATATACTAAGTTGATCTTCTGTATATAAAGAGAATTGAGAATGAATCTTGATGAAGAATGGGATGAGAAAGGGAATGGGAGATGGGATGGTTGCGGGTGGGAGGAAGTTATGGGGGCAAAAAGCCACTATAATCCAGAAGTTGTACATTGGAAATTTATATTTATTAAATAAAGGTTAAAAAAGAAACATCTGCTTTAGGAATAGACTGATGTCTTAGTAATATTTGGGTTTAGGTTTTTGGATTGTGGGTGAATTTTATTTTTAATTTGTTGCTTCTCAATTTTTTTAAAATTATGAGATGTATTACTTGCATACTCAAAGTCATATGTAACCATGTGAATGTTGGATAATGTTTGAACTTTGTCCAATTTATTTTGTCTACATTTGAACCAAATCAGGAATTATAATGAGAGAAAAGAGAAGTATGTGTAAAATGAGCAAAAAAAAAAAAAAAACCTCCAAACTCTCCAAAAAAAAAAAAAATAGCCTGTATGCCCAGTATCAGAGAGAGGGAGAGGGATAGAGGGACAGAAGGAGGGAGGGAGGGAGAGAAAGAGAGAGAGAGACAGAACAGAGACAGAGAGAATGGAAATGAATGGAGATAAACATGCAGAATGAAGCCTCTCTCAGAGGCTGTTTTTGGGAAATAACTACAGGCAAGTGCTTCACCATGGAAGCTGTGTGCGATACTGGATAGCAGTTGGGACCAAAAGATAGTCTATTCAAAAAAGCTTAACATGGGAAGCTGAGGAATAAGATGTTCATTAGAACTTTGAAACACACAATATACCCTCAGGACACTGGAAGATGGTGGAATGTATTCCTGTGAATTTGGAAGGCCTTACACATATCTAGGGCTATAAGCTTTGCCAGGAAAGACCTGAAGAGGCCCTGACTTCTTTATAACTGGCTGATCCTGAGGTTCTATGCATGCAGGAAGTAAAAGAAAAGACAGCCCTGGACTGCCTGGCTAAGAACAGAAAGGACACAGTACAACATGTACTTGGAGCTCTTTGACAAAAGCTGGGAGAATTGTTGATTCCAGACTTGTAGGGAGTTCTCTATTCAGTCCTGACCCCCAGGCTAACCAAGTGGAGACTTCAATGGCCACACATCATAAGTAATACAAACTTTATAGCATTGGTTCAGAAAAGTGGCTAGATAACAGCAACTGCTACAACAAGCATTAGTAACACCAAACTGGAGACAGGAATCTAGTTTTTGGAATTGCTGTATTATTTAAAATGTTCATTTTTTTATGAGAGCGAGAAGGAAACAAAATATGGCTCATACTCAGAGGAAATTCCAGTTTCAGTAAAAAACTATCCCTGAGGAGCCCAGACATTGGACTCACTAGACAAAGACTTGATTCAGTTACTGATAATAAGTTCAGAGGTGGGTGTTGTGGTGCAGAGGGTTCAGCTGTCACTTGGGATGTCCACATCCTACCTGGCTTCTGACTTCAGCCTCCTGCTGCTTCACGTGCTGGGAGACAGCAGCTTTGCCTCAAGTGTGGGAGCCCCTGCCAGCCATGTGGGAGACCCAGATGGTTTTCCAAGCTTTTGGCTTTGGTCTGGCCCAGCTCTGGCTTTTGCAGGCATTTAGGGAATGAACCAGCAGATGGAAGACCTCTCTGTCAGTCACTACCTTTCAAACAGATGTTAAAATGGAAGTGATGAGTGAGGACACCCTTGTTTAAGAAAGTATAAAGGAAACCATTTAGTTTTGTTTAGTAAAGAACTAATGAAAACTATGCCTCATCAAATGGACCATATTAAATATGGAAATTACTTTAAAAAGAGGGACAGCTGATTGGTGCAGCAGTCAAGACGCTGCTTGGGACATCTGCATCCCATAGCAGAGTGCCTGGGTTCAAGTTCTGATTCCACTCGCAACTTCAGCTTCCTGCTAATGCAGAGTATTGGAGGAAGCAGGTAATTTCACCCACAGAGGAGACCTGGACTCAGTTCCCCATTTCCTGTTTCAGCCTGCCCCAGCCCCACATGATAGAGATAGTTGGGGAGTAAAACTGTGGGTGGAAGATCACCATCTTTGTATGCTTTTTAAATTAAAAAAAAACACACACAGAAATTATAAAAAGGAGCCAAATAGAAATTGAGGAGTTGAAAAACATATTAATTAATATGGAAAATTCACTAGTGAGTGTCAGTGGCAGATCTGACTAAGCAGAAGAAAGAATCAGGAATTTGATGATAAATTGAGATTGTTGAGTTGAAGGAACAGAAAGAAGGAAGAAAGAAGAAAGATGGATGCAATCCTAGAGAGTAGGACACCATCAAGCTTACTAATTTCAGAAGGAGAAAAGAGGAGAAAGAATATTTGAAGAAATGGTGGCCTCAAACTTCCTAAACCTAATAAAACATATGGATCTATACATGCAAGAAGTTCAAGGAATTCTTAAGTAGGATGAACTGAAAGAGTTTCACATATAGGCGTATCATAATCAAACTATTAGAAGCCAAACACAGAACATCTTGAAAGCAGCAAGAGAAAATAACATCATATACTAGGAATCGTCAAAAGATTAATAGCTGATGTATCATCAGAAACAATAGAGGCCCCAAGGCAGTGAGATGGCACATTCAGTGTGCTGCAGGGAAGAAATGTCAACCAAGAAGTGCATAGTTTTTCCATAGTACACATTTCTGTAAACTTTTGAAGACTCATCAGATGCATGGATTATCTAATATGTTTTAATTCCACTTTCTCAAACTTTTTGTCACCCTGATGGGTAAGAATAGCAGGATATGGTTGAACTCTGTAATTAATACACAATTATTCTTAGGCATTTAAAATTAACAGAAAAATGATCTCTGTTAAATATAAGAGTGGGAATAAGAGAGGGAGG